GGAGCAACTTTGCCTCCAGAACTGAGTAGGTAGAGCTAAAAGCAGAGAACAAAGTCTCTTGACCCCTTCAAAACCTTTCCGCATCCTCTCTTTTCCACAATAAAATCCCAAGTCAGCGCAAAACCATCTCACAAAACTGACAAGATATTTTTTTCATCAAATACTGAATATTGCTCACAAGGTAATGACAACAGCTTGTAGAAATTGGTGATGCAATACTGTTTGATGAGATGATACTCACTAACATGCCGTCCTGCTTCGAACTTGTTAAAGAGCAGTTAATAGAAATAAGAAAACTGAATTTTTTGCAGCTTTTAAGCAAGGATGTTTTGTAAGAGTATAATTCCTATACAGCTCATTATTTTACTAGTGCTACCACAAAGTCATTTATTTCAAATACAGCAATGTAATTAATATTTGATAGGGGTAGGTTAGAGCAGCAGACTATTGAAACCTATAAAGCAAACGTTGTAACCCACCGCTGCTTCTAACTCAAGTATTAAGCAGAACAATTAATCTGCATTTGCCACTTAATGAGCTTCTAAAACATATGTACTTAAAAATCTCAGTCATAACTCACAGCTTACTTGGACATTAGTTCACATCCCAGCTCTGGCACTGATTTGGGACAAGACCTAGTCAGGTTATTTAGCCTGTTATATTTGTTTCTCATGTCTGAAAGTGGATGAGACTTCTCAATCACCCCCCAGAGATGTTACAAGACTAAATTTCCTTGAGTTTGCAAGGCTTTTTGCGGTCCTTGGCATACTGCGTGGATTTGGAATGCAGTACACACGTGCCAAATATTCTTACTGTCCTACAGCAACTGGGGTCAGATTTTTCACGTACCAATTCTTTTACTCTGGGACAAGTGGCTGCTGAGTCAGGTGGTGATGGGGCGCATTGAGGACAAGGCAGACAAAACTCAAGCAGAAAAGCAGTTACTTTAATGTTGCAGGAAAACAAAACTAAAACTCACAGTAAAATCAGAGTCTCTAAACAAGAGAACAACATAACCCCTTCTCAGAAGAGTCTTTGACAAGCTGTTGTATTGACAGCTGATTCTGGCAGCTGGCAACTGCAGAATATTAATGAAGCATTGGTACAAGAGCAGTCTGAACAGGTTGATCATGACTGACTGAAGTCTGTGGTGCATGATATCAAGATACATTATTTGTCTGTAGCATTTGCTCTTAATTTGACCTTGTTGCTTGCTTGCTGCTGTCTCTCTCTCTTTTTTTCACCTTTTTTTCTTCCTTTCCCTTTCTTCCTCCCTCCGTTCTTCCTTCCTTTCCTTTCTCTTTCACTCTTTAATTCAGTAGTTCTAATTTGCCTAATTAAGTTAAAATGTACTGAGACCTATATAATAAAAAATGTTGCATATCAGATATTTTTAAAGTGTCCTTTGCCCTGTTTCTCTCCTATTATTTGTCAGTAGACACGTGCAGCTCTTACTACAGTAAGCTATGTTCTTGTTCGCTGCTTACATAAATGGGATTTATACAGAGGAACTTCTATAGAAGGAGCTTAGGATAAAATCCTTGTGCACAGTCTGACTTAGGGTATGGAAAGGCTGAGTAACCTCTCTGTATCTGACAAAGACAAGGGAGATTGATGGCTTCACTCAGGACGCGCTTCAGTCACTGTTCCTCTGCTGCCTCCCTGGGCGGAGGGCACACAGCATTCCTCACCCACTGCTTGCCTATAAAAGCATAGGTATGAGCAGTGCTCGCTCACTAGCTTTAAACACATGATGGAATTCATATGACTGACTGAAAACACTGGTAGTGACCTTTATTTACTCATGTGCTGCCTTTTTTTTTTTTGCCTTTTTTTTTTTTTTTCTGTTTGGTATCGTGTCCTTCACATGAACATTATCACACATGCCTGTTTTTATGATTTCTAACATATCTCTTTTTATTCTTCACAGCCCATAATAAGATCTGAGAGCACTGAAAAGGCATTTTCCTTGTCACTGCTACATTCCTCCCTCTTCTACCTTGTCAACATCTATATCCATTCATCTAAAATGCTGGTTTGCTTTGGTTGCTGATGGTTTTTGCACTTGTCTGTGTACTACCTTTACTACCCAAATCTTACTAGTTAGGCTTAGATTAAAGCTAGGTATATTAATGTGTTAGACTGCTCTAGGAGGAATTCAGTTTCAGGCATATTAAGTGCAGATTTTACATGAGAAAGTTGCTTTAGCGCCGGAGCAGGTATGGGGTGTTTGAGATGTTAGATTTAATGTTTCTGACAAAATTACTACTTTTTTCCTCTTGGGGCAAACACGTATTTATTTTTTCTTTCCTTTTCACCTTTTATTAGCTGGAGCTAAAATTGGCTATCGTGATCATAAAGGAACACCAGGGAAGCTATTATTAACTGTACTCTGTGGGATAAACAGGAGGTGTGAGATACAATGATCCAGACTCTTCTTTGTGACAGCATAATGTGGAGTGTAGGGTAGCAGACAGCCTTTTACTGCAGCAGCGCTTGCAAGCTGGCCATGCAGTGGGCTTTGCAGCAGTTTGCCTCTAGGCTGGGGCATATGAGCAGCCAATGCCCCTTTGCTCTTCTCCCTAATGCCCTCTTAGTTTACTGTAAAGCTTTTGAAGGGAAGAAAGCACTGCACTGGCAGAACTTGTTCTGCTGCCCTAAAGAGGTGGTTATAATAAGATCTTTCCAAAGCACCAATGCCCAAGTAACATTCAGGAACCTTCAATGTTCTTCTGATTAATGATGGTGGCAGTGATTTTGCAAAGTGGTTGTGTATTATTTTTAGGAAAATTTATAATAGAGATAGATGTGTTGTCATATGAATATTAAATATGAAAGCAAATATGCTCAAACCTTTGAAGTGTAAGAAAACAATAGTTAGCCTTTTTTTTAGGAAATAACCAAAAGTTTTCTCAGGTGAGCAGAACAACAGCTTTCTGGGACAGATAGCAAGCTATTTTTTGCTGTCACTCGGTTCATACAGATAAGGTTCCACTTTTCATGCCAATTTGAATTTTTGTGCTTTTAAAGGTAATCGATTATCACTATGTGTGTTATAAGTTACAGTGGGCTTTCTGAGATACTCTTCCTTCTAATGGGTCCTGATTCAGCAAAACCTGGTATTTACCTGCTTTACCAAAGTCAGCCTCAGTAACTAGAATTGTCCCTACTTGTCCAACTTCTTACAGTGGCAGCTCCAGGTTTTCCTTGCTGATGTATGTCAGTGGACTAATATTAAACTGAGACTAGGATAAGCAGAAACAAAGTACATGCCAGGGGTTCTTTCTGGACGTGCATATAAAAGGATTTATATGCCCTGCGTGCAGAGCAATAGGTATCTATTGCTGACAGCAGCATATCTGTATGATATGATGCAGAAGCCAACCTACCTGGGCTTTTGCAACCTTGTACAGAAGGCAGATGTTTTAGTGGTTGATTTAGCTTCCCCTTGGAGGTCTGCCAATATCAGGGTGTTGTCTACAATCAGCCTCAGTAAAGTGGAGAATCAGAAGTACTATGGGTTTCCATCACAGGGCTAACCTAGTGCTAGGTAATCTTAAAACCAACATTTCGCTAGGTTTGTGGCATATACTGCACACAGTGCTATAGTTTACCCTGAAAGTTCTCCAGGCGCTATCCTGAGAGATTAATATAAGCTGACACAGTTCATTTTTTAGTTTTTGTTAAGGTAATCATATCACTCCCACTGCTAATGCAGTTTGCTATGAGAAATTGTAATATGCCGTAAGTGGCATGGAAGAAATCACACAGTGACTCGCTGGTAATCATAAGCATAACAGCAACCTACACACTGTTATCATCCACGACTTTTAATACTGGTATGGCAGGAGACCAATCAATAAGTTGCCTAAATTCCAAAGAAAGAAACAGGGAGGAAGGTGGAATTTTCAGTTCATGCTGTGTGTGTAGGCTGGATTGCACAGAAGAAAACACAGTGGAATCCAGCTCTGTGTTTAATAATAAGAAGATTTTATAATGGAAAAATCTCAGAATTACAAAATGGGTTGTCGCTACTACATGTTTTCTAAAAAGGTTATACAGAATGTAGAAAGCTTAAGTTTTTAGATATCAGGATGATAATAACGGTATAAAATCTATTTCAGGCTTTAGGAGTTTTATGTGGATTACCTGTGATTTCTTGAGCTGCCTTAATGTGTTGGTTGCAGCTCTCAGAACCTCTATGATATCACCCTGGTAGCATCTGTTATTATAAATTCTAAATAAGAGAATAGCTGTGGAAAGTTTGTGAGGTTATTAGCGAAAGACTTCCTGATGTCTTTTGTTGCGTGAAAACAGAGCAAAGATAGTACCATCAAACTCCACCTTGTTCCTGCAAGTAATATCAACATCAACTAATATGAAAAAATTTAAAATAAAAATATGAGCACAATATGGAATTGTAGTATTTTGTATTTATTTTATGGATACCCAGGGAATCAATCTTAAAAAATTGGATAATGACAGCAAATGATTAAAAACTGTGTGATTAATTTGTTCCTTTCTGTTGATGATTTTGCTGAGGTACCGGTAAATCTTGCTAACAAAATGGCATTTAGTGATAATTTACTGTAACTTTTTTCCATTGTTTCCTGTAAATCAAATTTCCAGGGTTTTATTTTCTGTTTCTTTCCTGTGCTAAGTCCACATTGGAGATAGTAGAGCCACAAAAACACGTAACCACAAATATGACTTCAATAACTGACATAAGTGATTTGTAAGTTGCCACATACTGAAAAGAATGTTGCAAATATTCTTGCCATGTAAGTTTATTTGCAGAGCAGATTTTACTTCTGAAAACAGGTACTTGCACTCTGTGGTACTATGAAAGCTAGAAATTGGTCTCTGCTATGAGGATTCTTTATAATCTCTGCAGATGATGATTGAATATTCCTGTTTGATAAAGAAAAAATGAAAACAGTTTGAAACTTTGTTTCTCCTCTTCTTTTTCAGCCTTGTTGGAGAAGAGACAGAGACCAAAGATGCCACCAGCAACAGCAGCACCACAGTACCCACCTCCAGATGGAGGCTGGGGATGGGTTGTAGTCTTTGGGGCTTTTATCTCCATTGGATTTTCCTATGCATTCCCCAAAGCCATCACAGTATTCTTCAAAGAAATACAAGAAATCTTCCATACATCGTATAGTGAGATAGCCTGGATATCATCAATAATGTTGGCTGTCATGTATGCAGGAGGTAAGACATTTGTGAAATCTGCAAATATCATAGTTTTGTTTTGTTTTTTTTTTCCTTTGGTCTTAAAGCATTTAAAGTTAGTTACTACCAGTTTTTATCATTATTACCTAATGAATTTACTAAATTACATGGGATTTTTTTGTTTCATACTTTACCACAGAGTATTGATAACCACAACATCATTAGAGTAGTGCTTACTTTCCCTTTTAAAACATTTTATATTCTCTTTCTTTTCTTTTTCCCCTTAGGGCCATTTGTGTGTTCCTCTACCTAATCCTAAATTCACAGTTTCTGAGAAGTAAATTTTCCAACAAACCAATACCCAAGTAACTTCTCCTGGGACTGGGAGTGCATTTGCTCAGTTTCCACTGCCTCAGTGAGATCTTGCAGTAGATCAGATGATGGAGCTTAAACATAGAAAATTACTACGGCAATGAGGGTTCATTAGTCAGACGCAGGTATTCCTCTGCAGACGGGGGTTTTATATCCCTATTTGTTCTAAAATAAAATCCGTCTTTCCATTTAGACCAAGAGCCATGTTTCGTACATGCCATTGGTATGACAGCTACGATACAGACAATCTTATTCTTGGGACTGAAATGAACAGTGAACATAAATTCTCTGATACCTTTTTTCTTGTGAGCAAGAAAGTAAAGAACAAGACAGGTGAAGAAGGATTTACAAGTATAAAGCCGTGTTTAAGTATTAAGCGTCAAACCTGTTTTGGCAGGTTTTGTGTCTATTACCATCAAAGGCTAACTTAAATTCTGCTTGATTTCTGGATTCTTTCAGATTTTTCTTTTTACTGTTGGTGCAAGCTAGCTGCCACTTAGACAAAACACTTTTTCAAGCAGTCCAGAGGTCTCAATAAGAGGCTATTTCAGGCAATAGATGTGGCATTGCTCTTTCTTTGGATGTTGTGAGGTAACCCCTTGGAACATCTCAGACTGTTTGCAATGATGAGCAATTAAATGCATATGTTTCTATATATATGTATGCATATGTGTATGCATATATGTATAAATGTGTACATATCAAGACAGAAAACGTGCCAATAGCACATTGAGATTTAATGTCATTAATCACTGAAGAGCATACCTTCAATATTTTTCAGAAGTGGTATCTGTGTAATAGTAAAGCACAGTATTATCAGTTCCAGTAAACAACCTATTTAAGGAAGCATGAAGTCTCATTTTTAGCATGATAACTTTTTATCTCTGATTTCAACCTACCTAAGTTTTGACACCTGAATGACCCTCGCTCCTTTAGCAGTCAGGGAAGAGACGGAGGTGCAGAGGAATTGAGGCTACCTGAGCTGCTGCCTCTAAGTAGCTGTTTTTCCCCACTGACTATAAAAATGAACCTGCAGCCAGCATAGCATTAGCTTAAGCACCTCAGGTAAATATTTCTCAGTTAATGGAGTGGAAAATGGATCTGTCTTTCAAATGCTTGGCAGAGACAGAAGCCTTATAAATATGCCTTGACAAGTGGTGTCAATATCTGCAAAAGCTTGCTGTTCAGATATTTTGATCCCATTTTTATTCATATACTAGTAGGGAATCATAAATTATTAATATACTAATAGAGAATCATAAAGGATTTTATAGGACCAGCAACAGTGACCAAGTGATTCACCAAAATTCACCAGGTGAAGAAGTAACTTGAACTAATGTAGTCAAGAGTAAAAGAGCGGGTATGTTCCCTGTCACATTCAGGTCCCTTCTAATGCAGTTGCTTCCTAAGGATCCATCAGCGCTTGCACTGCGGAGTGTACACATGTAAGTGTGGAGGCCCCTGAACAAGTGCTAGACCCATCTGAAATGAGGGGAGAGCACAGGTGTTGCAAAGCTTGAGTTCGTTTCTGTTTTCCTTATGCTCTGACTTTTAACCTGGACTCTTTTTCACCACATTTTCTAATCTGAGCTAAATTTTCTAAGGACAGGTTTGCTTTATAGTGTGGCTGTTGTTCTTTGTGCCATTACTGTCATCTCAAAGTTCACCCAAGTTTTATTAATAGTACAGATGCAAAGCACAGGATTTAAGCTGTGCTAATTTTTATCCATGAAGTTCAATGTGAACAACTTTTAATGTAAAATACAAAGCATTCAGTACTTCTGCCTTTTCTCTAATACTTTGTCTGTTCTGAGTGCCAGTGTAATAACTTAACATGTACATTGACATTAAAAATTACAAAATGCTTTACTATTCATTCTGCTAACACCTACCCCAGTCATTGTGAAGATTATCAGCACAGGAACAGTAGACAAAGTTGTTTGGATGTCCTGTTATAGACTCATGGTTTTAAAATGATGAGAATGACGACTCTGCCTGATATAAACACACTTTGAAGCCATAGCTTCTCTAGAACCACTTCCTAAAAAATAGGCCATTTAGACAATCACTGGCAGAATATGAAATAGCAATCAGGAAAAACATTTCTGAAGGAAATCTCTCCATTGTTTTTATTGTCAGAAGGTGTTTGATTCCTTAGCATTTGATGTGCTGTAATGTGAAATGCACATTCAGACCATGCATACAAGGTGTATTGTTGACTATAAAGTGTGATGCATATGTCTGTGATGAACACTGTGTTCATCATACTACTAATTAAGGTAACCTGAAAACATCTAAGATCTGTCATCCTCATTAGAGCTTAGCATTCAACCTATTAATCATCACACTGGGGTCAGTGAATAAGTTGGAGTCTATGCAGATGCTCTTTGCTTTGGAGGCTGCAGCCTCTTGCAGTAATTAGCTAGCATCTGTGTTTTAGTAACAAGGTATTAACTTACCTTTCAGTGCCTGAGAAAAAAAAATGAAACTAATAAAAGGCATCCAGTAAGGAGCTAAAAGAATGTTAATTATGTTTATCACTTACTTCATACTTAGAATAAATGGCATTAAATTATAGCAGACCATCTGGTAATCCATATGGTCTCCTGCAGTCCTGGTTAATTCCAGCAAATAGGTCAAGCACAGCATTCACCCCGTTAGGAAAGCACTAAGCAGAGGTGACAAATCTGATAAATCAAATCAATATGAAACTCTTTTCCCCTCGCAATCTGGCATAATATGGACTTTCATGCTGGTTTTTTTTTTTTGTTTGTTTGTTTTGGAGGGTTTTGTTTGGGTGCTTGTTTGTTTTCTTAAGCTCTTTTTTTTCCCACTCATCTCCTGGATGTTAGAGTCTACTAAAAAGCTATCTCAAAAAGCAACATCCTGTGATGTGATCAAGGGTACAGGTATTGCACAGTCTCTACTGTTCAGCTTGTGCTTAAAAAAAGCATCCTCTGGAGAAGAGCAATAGTTCAGTCTCCATGGCAACTCCTTCTGCCTCTCTTGAGCAGAGACTGTCAATTGTATTAAATTAAGGGTGATGGTTTTGTGATGGACTCCTACACCCGAGGGACCATGAGTGAGGCCACCAAACTTTTGTTACTGGAGGACAGAAGCTGGGATAAAATGGAATTAGTTGAGTTATCCTGACAAGGCAACTTGTGTTTCTGTGTGTGTATGAACACGTATGTATATAAAATGTGTGTGTGTGTGGGTATGTATCCTTATATACATAAACTATATATGCATTCATATACTTATAGAGCCATATGTGTGCTCTAGCACACACAAGCATTAAGGAATTCATGAAAAAAAACAAATAATTTGACCTCAAGTTCTCTCACTTCATTCTTCTCTTTTCCAATACTTCACCTCTCACTTTGCAAGGCATTAGCAGCAAAAGGTTATTAGAGAGCTCCTTATCGGAGCTCGATCTGTTTCCAGTAAAAATGTTTTCATTGCTTTCACTGTAGGTTTGATAGGAGCCTTAGTGACAGCTATGAAACCCACGTGACAGGTCTCAGACACAGCTGACCTTGAGCTTTAGATTTCCTTAGGGAAAAAGCAGTTGGTTTACTCACTTGTCTTTAACTCTTTTTCTATAATTTTTCCAAGGACACTTTCAGGGTTAGGATTTTTGTTGTTTTGTTTTTTTCTTTTGGGGAGGGGGATGTTGTGGTTTGTTTTTTGTTTTTTTTTTCCAAAATAACTTTCTGGGTCTGACATTGGGTTATAAAGATTAGGGTGAGAGCTAATAAATGCTTCAAGCCATACCCAGCTGTGAAGTGCGAGATAGTCTTGCTGGTCTGAAGCTTGAAAAAGAAAGGTCCATTTAAATTCTAGATGATATTTCTAAGTAATTAATTTAAAAAGTACCTTTGGACCCCTTTTGAAAAAGATGCTATATAAGTGTAAGTAATGGTCACTCCCATTTTTCAAAACAATCTTATAGTAAAAAAGTGCAGCATTTAATACCTGCTTTTCTCTTCTTCTGTATTTTGAAAGTTATTCAAGTTTTAGGTTAAGTATTTCCAAACAGTAGTGAAGCCTTAAAGGATTTTTCAGGTTGCAAGACAAAAGTAACCTATAGAAAAGTGCTCATTTTGACTTTGTCAAATATTAATTTGGAAAATAACATATCATATGGTATGTTCAAAATATTTGTGATTTTATCTCAGTGGGTGTTTTGGTGATATTGCTGTGAAGATGAAATGGCGTGCACAGTGGAGGTGACAGTTGCGAAATCCATGTAACACAAACAACAGATGGTTATAGATTTTACTTTTGGACAGGACCTGGGCTCCTACACTTTTCTTCCTTCCTGAAACATTTTTTTATTATGCTTTTACAAATACTGGCACAAGGAATTCAGTGGCCATGGATAAGGAGATTGAGAAGCTTTCTTAAATTGACCTATGTCCTTTGTTGTCAGGGACAAGTGTTTTTCTCCATCAGGATATGCAAAGTGTTGAATTTTAATAACCTCATTTAGAGTGTCCTTGAAAGCAGAACTTACCAACTTTCTGGATGCCTCATGGGCATGAGGGAATACTTCACATTTAGCCTAAAATATATGTAAAACATCTGTGTCAAGCTAATTTGAGACTCATAGATAAAGCAGAAGAAGTCATAATGAGGTGACACAAGAACAGAGAATTTTAAAT